ACGCGACTCGCCGGAGGTCTATCCTCCGGGGTAGTCGATTTTTTTTTTGTAATTTTTCTACGAATTAAAATGATCGCTCTTTGTGGCTTTGGAGGGGAAATATTTTGGGCGCTATCTGGGGTTGTCAGGGATTTTGGACTGGAAGTTTTGGAGACACCAATTTTGGAATATTTTAGTTTCCAAGCTTTTAGATTTCTTAGGAAGGTCCTATAGTTATCTACTTCTGAAGATTCACGATTTTCATATTTGGAATTTGTGCATCTCCAAATTGTTACACTTTCAAGTTTCTAAAGTTTCATATTCTATTACCAAAAGTTCGTATATCTAAATTTTCCAATCTTCAAATTCATAAATTAGAAACATTGCAAGAGAGACTTGAATTACAAACATTTCAAGAGAGACCTAAATTACAAACATTCCAAGAAAGACTAAAGTTACAAACATTTTAAGAGAGACCTAAATTACAAACATTCCAAGAAAGACTAGAATTACAAACATTTCAAGAGAGACTTCAATTACAAACATTCCAAGAGAGACTAGAATTATAAACATTTCATGAGAGACTTCAATTACAAACATTCCAAAAGAGACTAGAATTACAAACATTTCAAGAGAGACTAGAGTTACAAACATTTCAAGAGAGACTTCAATTACAAACATTTTAAGAGAGACTTCAATTACAAACATTTCAAGAGAGACTCGAATTACAAACATTCCAAGAGAGACTTCAATTAAAAACATTCCAAAATTCCTAAATTTCCAAGAGCGTCCATATCCAAGTTCTTAAGTTCCTTAAATTCAGTGAATTTAAAAAGTGTAAAGGAGTAATTGCGTTGAACGGTAAGCCCGACGCTAAGGGTATTGAAGCGACAGATGAGACTATGAGCGAACTGAAAACACAATACCCCCGGTTCTGATTCCAGGTTTTGCGTGGGTGATCGATTCTATCTGTGCGAGAACAAAATCCTGTGCGAGTACGACTACGAGGAGAGGCTCGCGTTCGCCAATATGTCACTACAAACACCCGCCTCGCTGGCGTACATCAAAAGGCAACTGCCTCCAACACCGACACCGCCTGGGCAGAACATGCATCCGGGTCACAATCCGCTGCAACCTCATCAGGGACTTGGCCAGTCGGTGGGTCAACATAATCACGTGTCGAACGTAAGTTAAGAGATTGACAACGTTTGGAGCCTTTCACGATACATACGCGCGTAAAAGCGTCCGATGACGAGCGGGTCACGTTTTAATCGAAAACGGTGATAGAAAGCTTTAGAGCGTTTGAAAAGAATCGCATTTTGCTAAATTTAGACGTTTGCGTCTGTGATTAAGGCTTTTTTGGATTTTCTGTCATTTCTGACTCTTTGTAAGGTAATTCCAAAGCTGGTGATTAATGTTGAAGAGGTTTTATTTTTATATATTTCAGTCTGAATTAATTATTGCTTTTAAAGACCAAGTAAAGCTTTTATAAGCTAATCGTTTGAAGCTAGCGTTCTTTTAAAACTAGTGTTACGTGATTTTAAACCTGTAATTAAATTGTGCTTATGTTCTTACTGTTCTTATGACTTCGGACTCGTAAAGTTTTATGGACCTTTTCGAAATGTGTATAATTACGAGTGCACAAAATGGTCTCTGAAAGAAGGGTGTTCGTACACATATGTAGGGAGAATTTCAAAGAATTAAGATAGGTTACATCTCGGGAATAATTCAATAATATCCGAACAGTCTTCCACAATCGTGATATTGAAAGCTTGACAGGAAAGGAGTATAAAAAGCAAAGAGAATGTATATCGGTGAGATGTTCTTATAACTGAGAAGGTGATTTTATGGCTGCAGGGTCAAATGTCGGGGGGTACGCCAACGGTGAACGGAACGGCGATAGGGGTCGGTGGTCCTCGAGCTCCGGGGGACATGAACAACAACGGTTTATCGGGTCCAGCACTAGGACCAGTGAAGCCACCACCGATGTCTATGCAAGCTCCGACCAGCTGAAACGAGGTGTCACCCCCCTTGAAGAAGCTCAGATGTCTCAGCGGCTATTGAGGCTGGAACGAAGAGAACAGGAGAGGCTGTAACGCGTCGTGGCCAAGTGAACACGAATACCGCGTGGAGGAGAGTGATTGACAGACACATATATTATATACACACACACCCACACGAAAAACACAAATATGCACGGGGGGTGGTCGTTCGCAACGAACGAAAGATAAAAGAGAAATGGATCCGACCTCCGTGAAGAATCTCGAGGACGCTTCCGGGCGATCGAACGATTTCGGGAGGTTGGGGAATTAATCACTGTGATCGCGAAATATATATGAATAAATTTATGGATGACATGTTGACGGTAGGACATGGAACGTGATATCGTGCACGTGTGCACGCACACGGATAGACGGACATCTTGTAATATACGGTACAACATGTAACGATAAACTAGGCGATTTATGTAAGATATATTTCTGGAGGGAGGATGAAGCGTGTGCGTGCGAAGGCGAGAAAGGGAGAGAGCGAATGGGGCAGAGTTTTCTTGTAAATAGCTGTTGTATCGTCGACTCTGCTAAAAAAAACGAAGACTATCAGTATACGCAGACCAATCGATGATTTCTACTCGCGATTCGTCTCTATTAGCTCGATCGAGAAACCGCAAAGACTGTCGATAAGGTGAATCTCGATCGTCGATGCTCGTTCGCGACTTCGATCGCGAGGACGACGAATCTACGACCTTTCGAAAAACTCGGTATACGAATGACCCGAGCAATGGCGCACCCGATGGCTGATACCAAAGATTAACGATGTAAGTTCTCGATGCCCCTCGGGAGCGAGCTGGCTTCTTTGGATTTCACATTCGTTGCTCACTAATATAGTCGTTTCGCAGTTTTCTCTAACTGAGTGTAGGCTCTCCTTGGACGCTTCTTACAAAATCAAGTACCAACTTGAGATTTCCAATTACATTTTCAAGCTGTTACACTTCTGAATTTCTATATCACCGAATCTGAAAGTGCTACAATATTTAAAATTTCGAAATTTCTAAATATTTAAATCAACATCCCTCAAGTCTTCAAACTCTTGAACATCCAATTACTGGACCTTCTAAATCCTCAACCTTCGACTCTCAAATCCTCGAATCCCAAAATTTCTAAATTTCCAAACAATTAAATAAAAAAATATACCGAGGTAAAATATTCTTGCTATTTCGCCAAGTTTCCTAGAAGAGCCTACACTCCTCCTTCACCCCCAGCTCGCAAAGAGGGGCTTAGTCCGCGGCTTTACGCTTTAACGCCAAAAAGATGCATCGGAACAAGCGGGTGAACAAGAAGAGAATCGAGGAAAATAAACGGTGACGTGGATACCAAAAGACGGCTGACTATCCGATAACGCGTGCGCTGATAAACGATCCGAATCACCGACGAAGCGTGTCGCAAAACCGCCACGGGTCGCGCAGACTCGCAACGACGTGGCAAATTTGTCTGATCGTTAACGTATCTTTCCCTTTTTGCCCTTTTCGATCGGGAGATTTGCCCGCGAGTTGCGAATTTATCGCGCGCGGCCCGGATCCGAAACCACCGAATCGATTAAGTACAAAAGATATTTACGCGAAGAGAGGATGCGCTTGTGAGCAAGATGGCCGACGTATAGCACGAGAGTGAGAGGGAGGGAGAGACAGAAAGTGTAACGAGCGATCTACGCTCCGAGTGCCAGAAACGCGAACACTCTTTCCTCTTTTTTTATCCATCTGTATATAAATATCATTTATTAGCGCACTACTAATATATTTACGAACCGCCTCTATAGGGGCCCCATTACTACCGAGAAAATATAACATTCTTATAAATACAACAACACGATGAGTTTCAACGGTGTCTTCATTTCATTTCCACATGACCATTCGTTGCAACTTTTTTTAATTAATCTACGTTATAAAATAGTGAGGCACATACTGTATGTTATGTATGTTTGCAACGAGATGCAACGAAGGGTTAAGTAAAATATTAACGTCGTATTGGATTCTACGATGTTCCTTTTATTCCCCATTTTATATCCTCTTGAGTACATGATGGGAGCTGTGGGGACTATTTGGATGAGGACTAGTTAGAGAGAAAATTATTTATATTTTAAAATTATAAGATTTAAGAATTTTTACAGTTTCAAACTTCCAAATTTTTAAAATCTTGAATTTCTAAATTCCTATAGTTACGAATTTATAAATTTCCCAATACCTAAATTGCCGAATCACTAAGTTTCCTAATACCTACATTTCTGTATCTCTAAATTTCCGAATTCTTACGCATCGGATTTCTAAATTTCGAAATTCCTACGCACCGAATTTCTAAATTTCGAAATTCCTACGCATCGAATTTCTAAATTCCCAAATTCCAACGCACCGAATTTCTAAATTCCCAAATTCTTACGCACCAAATTTCTAAATTTCGAAATTCCTACGCATCGAATTTCTAAATTCCGAAATTCGTACGCATCGAATTTCTAAACTTCCCAAATTCTCACGCACCGAATTTCTAAATTTCCAAATTCCTACGCACCGAATTTCTAAATTCCCGAATTCCTACGCACCGAATTTCTAAACTTCCCAAATTCTCACGCACCGAATTTCTAAATTTCCAAATTCCTACGCACCGAATTTCGAAATTTCCAAATTCTCACGCACCAAATTGCGAAATTCCTAAATTCCTACGCACCGAATTTCTAAATTTCCAAATTCTCACGCACCGAATTTCTAAATTCCCAAATTCCTACGCACCGAATCTCTAAATTTGAAATTCCCAAAATTTCCAAATCTCCAAATTTCCGAATCCCTACTCTCCCGAATTTCTAAATTCCCAAATTTCTAAATTTTCGTGTCCCCAAACTCCCCAATACTTAAATGCCGAACTTCTGAATTACCGAATTCCCAAAATTTCCAAGTCCCTAAATCCCCGAATTCTTAATCAGCGAATTTCTAAATTTCCGAAACCCTAAACTTCCAGATCCCTAAATCTCCCACTTCCTAAATTTCTAAAACCCTCAATATCCAAATCCCTAAATCTCCTTTATAAATTTATAAAACCCTACTTATTCCATTTCCAAATCCCAAAATTCTAAAATGTCCACCTGCCCAAAGCAGTCCAATCGTTAACCTCAATATGCACAACGTTCGTGTTTTCCTTCCCTTCAGTATCCTATAATGCTCCTCCGCCCCCAATAACGTTTGTTAACCCTCTTCGTATTATCCGGTTGATCCGCGTCTCGAAGTTGTACGAGAATCGACGAGAAGTAAAATCGTGCCTGTAGCGAGATCCGTTGATTTGTGGAGGCCGTATTGTCCGCTCGGTACAAGGAAACGGTTAGAACGAAGCCAGGACAGGTTCAGGATTGTGAAAGGGAAGCCGGGAAAAGGGGTGAGGGTGAAACAGCCAGGGGGAGGCAACGCGATTTCCCTAATGTCTTCCAGCCCACGGAGTTGAATGTTATTATGCACGGTGAAGACTTTATAATAGGACGTTGAAACTCTTTAAAACTCGCGGATCCTCTACCCTCTCAAGCTGTTGGCCTCGAAAAGGCTCGTCACGGGACTTCAACGATTATCCTCGATACCCTCAAAAATTGAACCTATCAGATCTACATCTCCTGAATTCGACTTTTGAAGGAATTCTTGATAGAATCGTTATTTGTAGTTTTGACGTTTAGGGGTAGGAGACAGGTAGGAGATTTTTAAATATTCAAACTTTCAATGGATGGAACTCTGCAATTTCTTAAACTTATGTTAAATTTTTATATGTTTGAATATTGGAATTTTTTAGTCTTCAGATTTCTAGGTTGATCTTTCTTGCAGAACTTCAATTTCTGAAATTTACATATCTTCAAACTCTTAAATTTTCAAATCTTAATTGTACAGATCCTCAAATCTCTAAATGCTTGAAACCCTAAATCCTTAAGTTTTCAAATACCATCATTTGCAAGTTTTAAAATTTCTGTCTCCAAACTCCTACATCTCCACATTATCTAATTTCCTAAATTCTCAAACCCCCAAATTTCACAACCCCTAACCTCTAAATTCCTCAACCCCTAAGCCCCAAATTTCCAAACTCCAAATTCGTCAAAAACCGAAAACAAACCTCCAACTTCCTGAATCTCTAAATCTCCAAATTTCCAAACTCCACGTTCCTCAAAATCCGAAACCCTCAACTTCCTGAATCCCCAAATCTCCAAATTTCCAAATTCCACGTTCCTCAAAATCCAAAACCCCCAAGTTTCTGAATCCCCAAATCTCCAAATTTCCAAACTCCACGTTCCTCAAAATCCGAAACCCCCAAGTTCCCGAATCCCCAAATCTCCAAATTTCCGAATTCCATGTTCCTCAAAATCCGAAACCCCCAACTTCCTGAATCTCCAAATCTCCAAATTTCCAAACTCCATGTTCCTCAAAATCCGAAACCCCCAACTTCCTGAATCCCCAAATCTCCAAGTTTCCAAACTCCACGTTCCTCAAAATCCGAAACCCTCAACTTTCTGAATCCCCAAATCCCCAAATTTCCAAACTCCATGTTCCTCAAAATCCGAAACCCCCAAGTTCCTGAATCCCCAAATCTCCAAATTTCCAAACTCCACGTTCCTCAAAATCCGAAACCCCCAAGTTCCTGAATCTCCAAATCATCAAACCCCAAATTCGTCAAAACCAAAGATCAATTCTCCAAGATTCCTAAACTATCAAACATCCATCTCCACCCCCGAAAATTTTCAATATCAAACCATCCAAGTTTGCAGCCAGTCTGACAGGAGATCCCGCGCAGGTGGTCAGACCCAGGGCCCAGTAACGCGAATACGTGGATGGTTGACAGAGTATCCTTCATGGGAAATAAGGTACGAGGGAGATTAATTGGAGCCTTCTTCGAGGGCGACAGAGAAGGGCATAGAAGAGGACGGACAGAAGGGGAAATTGGGAAGAGACAGAGTTAGCGAACGAGAAGAGCAAGAGGGGTGAACGGGAGACAGTGAGGATAGCCCGGGGGCGAGCTTTTTGCCGAACACATAATGCATAGCGAAGGATGACACCCTTATCTCGGGATCTTTAATTCCGTGAGCCGCCGCGAGGGGGTTGCCGCGTCGTCATTTGTCGGTTGCAACCGCGGGTCCCTGGCATCCCAGAGTGGATGGATAAAACCGGCAGCGCTGTTAACATCACCGTTGGATACAGGGGCTGGAAATTGCCTTGGCTGATTTCATTTCGGTCCAGATTATTTTAAGGGGTTCTGCTTTTCTTTCCCCTACTCTTATCCCGCTTTCCGACCGCTCGTCTTATCCTCTTACGACTTCGACGTGATTAATGCGACTCCGGGAACGATCGTCACCGATCGAGACTGACTGATTAATTTATACGCGATCGCGTGACGGTATTTGTCGGAAAACGACAAGAAAAATGGGGTGTACATTGGTTTCTAGGTTTACCTCTTTTAAGAACTAATGTGTTAATTCGGAGATTTGGAGATTTAGAAATGAGGGAAGTTGGGAAATTTGGAATTTGAGAGTATGAGAAATTGGGGGTTGAAAATTTGGGAAAATAGGAATTTGAAAAATTTCTAATATGAGAAACTAAAATCACAAGAATTTCAAGATCTAAAACCTCATAAAATCAGTAAACTTGAAAATTAATAAAATTAAAAATTTCTAAACTATCTTCCAATTCATCCACCTTCCCCGAGACAGCGTACGCTTCTCAATCCGTCTTCCCCCACAAATCCCTCTTTCCCTCGACGCTGCAACGTTTGACCGGTATCGGTAAGTTTTTCTCTTCACTTTCTGCAAACAGCCCCGTAAACAGTGGTCGAAAAGGACAGTTGGAGGGATGCATCGTGCGGCGATTAAAGTGTCACGTAACGGGGTAGACAGGGGCTCGGGGTGCCGGTAAGGGGTTCCTTTTGAAACGATCGTGTGTAGAGTAACTCACGGAAGCAACGGGGTGCACGGGAGCGGCCGCGTTATGATCCGGACATCCTTTTCGGTCGAGACGAATAGAAGTTCGAGCAGCGTGCGCGCTCGTATTTCAGGTTTTATCGCTCGAAAACGTCGAGGGTGGGCCGGTCGTCGTGCTCGACAAACCGTGCACCGAAAAGCGGCAGCTTGGCGGGCGAACCAAGAACGAGCAGTCCTGGTAAGATAAGCTGAGATACCGATGTATCGATCTATCGATTGTGCGTAATTTGAAGGAGAATCTCTCATTTCTGACAGCTGAAGGTAGTTGAAATATGAAGCAACTTTTTACAGTCATAGATTGACGCGTGGATAAAAAAATTAATTGGTAGATTATCTTGAATCGAGTAGTCGCGAGTTATCGACTTGCGGGTATAGCTTCGTAGGTTATTTTCATCCCTTTAACGTGTCAAGCATATGCGTAAAATATGTCCTCAAGAAGTACATTACACAGTTTTATTAAAATCGATCAGAGAAGGTAACGCTTTCGCAGAATATTTTATCGTGCCACCCCTATTTTACAAGGGAATAGAAGATGAAAGAAGATTGTCGGTAACGATAGGATTATATCGTAGATCGATCAGCAGTAAATGTTAAACGGAATAAATGTCTGAACACGAAAAGATGACGTTTATGGGTAAGTAAAATATTCGGAGATGTTCTTTTACGGCTGATTCGGGGCTAATGAAGGACATTAACGACTTAATAATTTGTAGCGAAGAAATCCATAAAAGGGGTAGGAACCGATGACTACGGCGGAATACGATGTAATATCTGTCGGCAAAGCGGAAAAGGAAGGTTCGTGATCGTAACAGTGGTTGGTAGAAATCGGAGCGGCTTTATCCCGGTGTATTGTCGGCGCGCATCCTAAAGCAATCACACGGGCGGCCGGC